GCCACCTGGCAGCTTTTTGTCGGCCCCTTACGCGAGATGCGATATCGTTTTTGCCCTGTGTGTGTGTGTGTGTGTGTGTCCAAGCGAAGGTTTCTACCTCGCTCCTTCTCTTCCCGTGCCGGCCCCACTTCCGGTCCCCGCTTAAGCTCTGCCTAAGGTGCCCGTGGGCCAATCCAGACCCGTCACCACGCCTCCCCCACCCACGCGCACCTGCGTTCACGCCCACCAATCGGAGGACGTGCTACCTGGACGTGAACCAGACAGACTGAGAGAGAGAGAGAGAGAGAGAGGTTGTGGAGAGGGAATGGAACGATGGAACGGAAGAGAGAGAGAGAGAAAGGAAGAGAGACGTCCTCCACGCGCACGCTCCGCGGTTCGTCTTCTCCTCTTCCAACTTTTGCACTTTTGTTCCTTCCCCTCCCCCCCTCACCACCATCGATGGAAGGAGGAAGGCTGCGCTCACCTTCTTCTCCAATCCTCTCCCTGTGAAAGGCTTCTTCCTTCTTCATCTTGTATCCTAGCCGATGATGTTTCTCAACTTTCCGTTCGTTCGGAGCGAAGAAGGATTTCGATGGGTGTGCATTTTTGATACTACGTTTCTTCGATGGTAATTAAATTGGGGAGAGGGGGGTAGAGGGAGAAGAGGAAGAAGGATGGGGGGTGGGAAGGATGGGCTCTGTGGGTGTTCGAAGGATTTTGATAGGGGGGTGGATTCGATGGCGATTATCGAGGAGATCCGTTTGGAGATTTGTTTGTTTGCTAATTAAAAGGAATCTCTCGTTGAATTTGATAAAGAATTTTTTCTTAATTTGTTAACAATTCCATATTTTTCTAGTGTTCCATTCATTGCTAATGCAACAGTGATAAAAAGAATTATACGATCACAGAAAGAAAGTCCTAGGTTCTTGATATTTTTATCCAACGTGCGAACTCGCAGAGAGAAGAGAGGAAAAAGGTATAAAAAAATTAAGGGATCCGCATCTTGGTCCAACATCTCGCGATATGACAAGGAGAAAGAAAACACAATTCTACTTCTGCCAACAAACTTCTGTCAAAACATCAAAAGATATGAAAAAAGAAAAGAAAAAAAAAAATGGAAGAACGGTGGCGCGAGCATCGAAACTCGCGTAGGAAAATCGGATCGAAGAGAAAGAGAATAAAAATACCTTGAACTTAACCGTGGTCTCTATACGAGGGAGAAGCTCGGTTGTCACCCGGCCTCACGGCCATTTTTGCAACGGGCCTCGCAAAAAGGCCCTTGCGCCCGCCAAATTTGGAAAGCCGGCTGGGCCTAGGTGCGGCCTTTTACGGCCGGGGCCCGCCGCCGCTCGCCAATGGCCGCCTTCAACTTGAAAAATCCACTCTCCACGACCCGCACACGATTCGTGTTTTAACGCCTACGACATCGCGCCTGCCTCTTTCTTCCTTTCCTTTTTTTCTTTGTTTCTCGCCTCTTTCCTCGTTCCTCGCAACGATGAAAGGTTTGTAAAACCGTCGATATCGCGGAATTTCGTTACGGAATTTACGACCCACGTCCAACGTTTCAACGGCATATCTGCTGCGCCGAGTAGATCATTTTTCCTCCGTTTGCGAAACAAGAGGGGAATTTTGCTCGTTCAAACACGCTGGCCGAGCACGAGCGGAGAAATATGCAGGTATTTTTTCGAGTTATCCTTTGGAAAATTATTTTAAGACCGCTTGGAATCATTTAATAAATTGTTGGAAAGGGATTTCGTAACGTGAACGAGTGGCAATGAACAACTGTCCAACGATATAGATAAAAATTAATCGTTCGACGAGGATATCGTTGCTTCTATTAATTATTGTGGGTGTTGTACGATTTGAAGAAAAGAAGAGAAAAGAAAAGAAAGAAAAAACGGAAGAGAATACATTTTCCTCCTTGTTCAAATGCATCGTGAAAATAATTGATCGATATTTAAATAAAAAAAAAAAAAGTCAGGAAAGGAGATTTTTAATACGTACACGCGTATGAAATTCGCAGGATTCACGGGACGCGAATTTCATCCGCTTCCGCGTGCCTAGAACTCGCGCGGTAATACGTTGTTTTTCTTACAATTAACTAAACGAGCCGCTCCCCCCATCCCCCGTCTCAAACCGCCGCCGACAAAGATTTTCCAAGCGGAAAAATCAACACGGCAAGTTAATTTCATTCAGATTTATGAGAATTAACGAAGAAGGCCGCGATCCCTTAATTTCCTTTTACGGCCAGCCGGCTCGAGCAATCCCACGAGTTTTCCACCCTACGGAGGTCGTCGACCATCCTCAACCTTCTAAACAAAACAGAGCCATCATATTTCCTTTCTTCGTTAAAATTTAATTCGATCCTCCACCTGCAATCTCTCCTTTGTCCAATTCTCCTTAAACTCGATTCGAAGCTCGAGCCGACTCGATAAAAATAAGGGGGGAGTTTAATCATGCTTTAGACCATGTTCGAAAATTCCTTCTCCAAGGGATTATTTTGAAAAATTAGGAACGAAAATATTGTAAAACTAGTAATAATTAATATTCGAATTAATATTCGAATAAAACTTTGGAAAGTTCAAGATAAAACTATCCCATACATTTTTACTTACAGATAGAATAAGCCAGACACCTTAGACATGTTAGAGCCACAATAATTAAGCAAATGAATTTGAATTAAAGAGTTAAACATTAGTAACATATTATCCGACGATTACTGTACAAAACTCGAGAAGAAAAAAAAAAAGTGAAAGAACCGATCGGGGAGAAAACGGATGGAAGAAGAAAACGGAGCGAAGAGAAATAAGATCCAGGTGAGAGATGATCGAAAGGGAGAACGGAATTGGGCAAAAACGGGGAGATGTTTTCGCAAGATGGGATCGTGATAAAACCAAAAACGGCAACAAGAGACGAAAAGTTGGGTAAAAACGGCGACTAATGTCGAGCTTTCCGCCTCGTGATACTAGAAACGATCGCACTTACGGCCGCCGAGCGGAAAAGTGGTGAGACAGGACGAAGGGGAAATTGGTTGCACGTTGCACTTTCAGAGGCTTTTTGTCAGTCAACTCTCCGACTCTGGAGCCAATGAAGTTCTCTTTCGTTCGTTACAACAGCTCCTCCACCCCTCTTATCATCTTGTCCTATCTCGTCGCCTAAATAAACCATTTTATGTTAATCAATGGACAACGATTTCGAAATGTGGAGCAAGTAGATATTTATCGGGATAATTCAAGAAGAGCCGGGTAAAATAAGGGAATAATGAATAATAAAACACTGTAATAATAATTATAATCAATTATTGGATTTCTATTTTTAATGAAGAAAAAAAAAAAATCTTATTCATTCTTTATTAGATTCTACGATATAATGCAAGAATAATTAAAGTTAGCTCTCTGAATCACTCTACCTTACTTCTCACAACCTTATCTCTCTCTCTCTCTCTCTCTATTTATTCCTCATTTCATTATTCACTCGCTATTTTTCATTATCCCGTTGTATAAAACAAGAGGCGTGACAAAAAATCAGAACTCTGAAAAAAAAAAAAAAGAAAAACAAGCTCATCTCTCCCTGCTCGCCGTCCCCCAATCTCTCGTCTTCTTACAACCTCGATGAAAAATTCCTCTCTCTCTCTCTCTCTCCCTCGTCCAATTATCCCATTGTCCAAAGAACAAAAGGTAGGAAAGAATCAAAGCGGCTATCGATAACCGGCGATTACCATAAAAATACGAGAATCCAACGTTGACCCGAGATGATGGGGTACGATTGGCCGGTAAGCACGGCAATTAGTCACGGCCTTACGACCCCGTGCGCGCACGTTACACCGTAATTATTCGCCATAATCTGCTGTCATCGCGCTTTCCCGGTAATCGTTCGAATTAAATTCATCTCGGCCCGTCCACTCGGAGCCACGAGCCGTGGAATGGAAAACGAAACGTGGAACGAGCCGCTCGAAACGGGATATATAATATACATAATTGAAAAAACAAGGGCTGGCAGCTAGCGTGGCAATTACGTGGCGAGGAGAGGGATACGAATTCATCCGCGCCCGCCTTTATTCAATTAAGTCTCGCAACCGCGCTTGAAAAATCAACGCGCCGTGAAATTCATCGATCCTAAGCTTCGAACGTCGATTTTTTTCCAATATCGATCTTTCGTTCTCTTGTTGGAATGTGACTTTTTTTTTTTTTTTACTTTCACGCGAGATTAATTAGGAGAACGATAATGCAAATTCGTTGAATGAGTTAATTCGTCATCATAGTGTTTCCAATTTGACTTTCAGATTGTATTTTTTTTTTTTTTTGTATTGGTCGCTTAACGAGTGACTACTCGTCTTCATTTTCAATGTAGAAGGAATAATAAAAAGAATGGCGAAGGAAAAAATGATGTTAAACTTGAGAACAGTGGTGAGGCATTTTCTTTATTATACGAAAATTCTTCTTCCCTCGTGTATATTCAGAAAATATGGATATAGAGAGAAGAAAAAGAAGAATTGGATTGTCCATCGACGAAAAATTAAACAAATATCACGCCTATTCATATCCACAAAGCAAAAATTTATTAATTTCACTTAAGAAGGAAGCACATATTTTAAAAGAAAATATCTACCTCGTTGCTGATGATTAAATGTTGAGAGAGAATTGGATTTTCCATTAACGAAAAATTAAACAAATATCACGCCTATTCAAACTGTATCCACAAAGCAAAAATTTATTAATTTCACTTAAGAAGGAACACATATTTTAAAAGAAAATATCTACCTCGTTGCTGATGATTAAATGTTGAGAGAGAATTGGATTTTCCATTAACGAAAAATTAAACAAATATCGTGCCTATTCAAACTTATTAATTTCGCTTAAAAAGAAGGAAACGCGTATTTTTAAAAAGAAAATACCTACCTATCTACAGAAACTTCGTTGCTGGTAATTAAACGTTACGTTGAACGACCACTTGCAACAATTCGATGATTATACTCGTCGAAAGGGAAAAGAAAGTTTCGTTTGCTAAAACGAGGGGCAGGATGCGCGAAAGACTCAACGTGTTTCATAATCCTTGATCCAAACGCGCGCGGTTTAACCCAGTTTCGCTCGATTTCCTAATTTTCCTCGCCGTTCTCTATCATCGTACGCAATTTACAGGCCTCTGTTAATCTTTTACGTCGAAGGAAGGAGGGGGGGAGGGGGGAAAATACCCAGGAAATCGTTCTCCCTATTATTCGAAGAAAACGAAAGTTACAAATAATACGATCAATCAGAAGACAATAATCTTCTCTGACGCGAATTAAAATATCTCAACTCTAATTATAAAAAAAAAAAAAAACACTTGTTGATCCTTTGACGATTCTGAAAAACTGTCTGATATAAGTAAAGAATAATTATCCTCGAGATTAATTGAAAAATTGATACGATTGAGGAAAAAATTTTTTTTAATTTAATTTAACAACGATAATTCCGATATTATTAACAATTATATAGTTTTCTCTTGCCTGAATATTTAATTGTGGGTCGAATCGACGCGATACATCGATCCTTTTTTTTCAAAAATTACCATTAGAACCGTTATATTGTACAGTTTAATAGCCTTTTTTTTCTTTTCGCGTTAATCAGTTAGCTGTATTAAGATTATATTTAGATAATCAGCATCATCGTAGGAAATAACAATTTTTAATAAAAAAAAAAAAAAAAAATTACCGAGAGATATTCGCGCGAGAGATCCACGCCAACGATAAAAGATTAAACTGAAATTTCCTCGCAATGTTATATTAAAAGAAAAAAAAAAAAAGGAAAAAGAAAAAAAAAGAAAGGACAAATATATATAATATTATCTACTACTCGAGAAACGATAACTCAATTTGATTTTGATCAAACGTGGAAAAATAATTGTCCACGTTTCCAGCGCGAAAAAAAAAAACGTATCGAGATAAACTTTTAATCGAGCTCTTTCAACGTAGTAGTGGTAGTTGCATGCGGTTACCAAATAAAACCGTTAATAAGAAACCGTTCTATTTAAAAGCTGCTAACATATGCGCTATTAACTCTTTTTTACGCGATGACAAAAAGAATCGGTTTACACGGATACGATATTGTATTTGTTTTTGTCACCTCGCCAGATTTTCTGTATCGAGCAAGTAAAAAAAAAGGAGGAAAGAAAGAAAAAAAAGAAACAGACTTTTTTTTTTATTTATTTCACACGACACGTTAATCGACACGTTGTTGTTCGATCGTGGATTCGATAAAAAGAAGAAGAAGAAGAAGAAGAAAAGGCGATAAACGACGAATACACGAATAATCGATCGAATAATTATCGATAATTATCGAGCGAGAAACGTAATCTTTTATCCACGATAATGGTTAATTATCGTTGTTTAACCTTTTGCAATAACGCGAGTTACAATAACGTCGTTAATTTTACGATTTTATGCTACAATAAAAATGATCGATCCGTTCTCACTCGTCACGCGAAACTACGTGTGATTTGTGATCGTTTTTTCGCGGTTATATACGATTGAACGTTAGGATTCAGAAGTTGGTGATGTAACAATAGGATAGTTTCTTCTGGCCGATTCGAACTTCCCTTTTTTATGCGGAATCATGTGGTTTGATTAGTGTTCCGCGCGAGAAAGGAGAATGGGAAATTATTGATTCGGTTATAATTATCCGCGTATGAAATTCTTCTCTTGATTCTTGGAGAATTTTTCGAGGGAAAGATGAGATGATAAGGATCCAGGAGTGTTGATTCTTTATTGAGTCACAGGAAAGGGAGAAGTAATTATTCGCCACGATATCGATTGGAATTATAAAAATTTCCTACAAATTTTCTAAATCGTACGTAATCCGATCGAATCGAATCGAATCGAAACGAATGGTATTCCCTTTCTCGATAACAATCCTCACGATACAACTCAGCACAAAATGTATACGTGAAAATAAAAAATTTCTATTCGATATAAGAATCAGATATTGTATGCAGATACCTTGAACGATCTTTCTACAGGGAGAAAAAAAAAAACGGAGGAGGAGTAAAAACGCGATAAAAGCAATCGATGCAAATTTCAATTCCGCTACCAATCAATTTTCACGATTCTCCTCGATTCTTTTGTGGAATAAAGGATAACAGCTTTCTATACGATCGCGTGAAAAACTATATATGCAATCTAACTATCAAGTATCGTTCGAGATACTTTTTACAGGCAAATCATTTTCACAGGTTGACACGCCGGATTATTTTCTTACGAATGCGCGATTGCGAACGATTGTTTTTACGCCGTGATGTAAACG